TAGCTATTTTGTGAGGTTATTTTGGTCATTTTTCTAGGGGGCTGGTTTTATAAATAGAGGGGGGTTTTCATTTGTTTTCTTCACACCAAAAACTCATCTCTTCTCTCTTATACTCTTATACTCTCTCTTATACTCTTATACTCTCTTATTTATACTTTCTAATCCTTTCATCAAATGGCTTCCCATTTGCCTAGGGGGCTGGTTTTATAAATAGAGGGGGGTTTTCATTTGTTTTCTTCACACCAAAAACTCATCTCTTCTCTCTTATACTCTTATACTCTCTCTTATACTCTTATACTCTCTTGTTTATACATTCTAATCCTTTCATCAAATGGCTTCCGGATCTGATTATGAAGAGCAAAACATTTCTCCTGATCCTGAATTGAGTCCTCCTACTATGAGTCCTCCTACTATAAGTCCTCCTACCGAAGTTAATCCCGAATCCGGTGGCGACGAATCTGCACCAAGAGCTCCTAAACGGCCAAGATCCGATGTGTGGAATTTTTACGAGAAGATCGACGTCACCAAGGATGAACACGGTAGGATCCTCACCCAGAAGGCTAAGTGTGCTTTGTGCGGCAAGATTTTTCAAGCTCATCATAAGAGCGGCACCAACCACCTCAAACGCCATTTAGATAAACACAACAAAGGCCAGACTCCTCAAGGTGATATCCGACAATCTATGATTTCTCAATCCTCCTCTTCTGGTAGTCTCGGTAGTTGGAACTATGACGCTGCCAGAGCCAGGAAATGCGTAATCAGGTTTATCATTCTTAAAAACCTTCCTTTTAAATTAGTAGAAGATGATGAATTTGAAGATATGTTTAGAGATGGTTTTTATCCTGCATTTAAAAAATTTTCTCGTCAAACCTGTCAACGTGATATTTTAAAATATTATCAGCAAGAACAAGAAAAAATAATTTCTTATTTTAAAAATTTAAACTGTAAATTTTCTTTAACTTCTGATATTTGGACATCTAGAGCACAAACTGGATATTTATGTATCACAGCACACTGGATTGATGAAAATTGGCAAATGTTTAAAAGAGTTGTTTCTTTTATTGCAATAGAAGAGTCACATACTGGTGCTAATGTTGCAAATTTAATAATTGAAGAACTTATGAAATTAGAAATTTCACAAAGAATATTTTCTCTTTCACTAGATAATGCAAGTAATAACAATGTAGCTGTTGATTTTATCAGATCATCTTTATCATTGCCATGTCATGGTGATCTTTTTCATATTAGGTGCATCTGTCATATTTTAAATTTAATTGTTCAAAGTGCATTTACTGAAATTAAACCCATGATAGAAAAGGTTAGAACAGTTGCTTACATGCATAGTGCTTCTGAACAAAGACTTAAAAGATGGAAACAATTTTGTAAAAGAAAAAATGTAAAGCCTAGACTAATTCCAAAAGATGTTGACCATAGGTGGAATTCCACATATGCAATGTTAAGTGTAGCAATAGAATATAAAGACATTATAACTGATTTTATAAACTATTATGCTTCTAGTTCTAGTTCTGGTAGCACTTATGGAATAACTGAAGATGAATGGACAGTTATATGTAATTTAAATGAAATGTTACAAGTTTTTTATGATGCTACCATGTTATTATCTGGCTGTTATTATCCAACCATTACTTTAGCTGCTTTACAAATTTTAAATATTCAAAAAATTTTTGATAAATATCGTTTGGATGCTACTTTTGGACCTATGGTTTTTGAAATGGAGAGCAAATTTAATAAGTATTTTAGGCCTATTCCTCATATTTTTGGTTTGGGGGTTCTTATTGATCCATGCTTGAAGGATATTGGCCTTCGAAGTTTGTTACAGTCATTGTATGGTGGACAGGTTATAGACTTAGATGATGGAACCACCCTGAATGCTACTACTCATCATTTACTTATTAGAAATTATTTTCAAACTTTATATGATGAGTATGCAGCTAGACATGGTGTAGCTGCACAACAGTCTGCAGCTTCGGTTTCTTCGAGCTCATCCCGAGCCCGAGGTAAAAGTGTAAGTTTTGATAGGTATGCAATGGTAGCCGAGCTAACTGGTGGATCTGGACTTGGATCGTCATCATCGGAGGTTTCTGAAATAGATGAATATTTTTCTGCTTCTTTAGTTAGATGTCAAGGAAATGCTTTAGATATTTTGCAATGGTGGAAAGTATATGGATCAGTTTCATATCCTATACTTTCCACCATGGTTCGTGACTTACTAACAGTGCAGGTTTCGACGGTAGCTTCGGAATCCGCCTTCAGCACAGCAGGTCGTTTGATCGACGATCACAGGACATGCTTGGATCCATATACTGTACAAGCGGTGATGTGCCTACAAGATTGGTGGAGGTACGAGAAGCGAACGCAAGGCATCGATCGGATGGCTGGAATTGAAGATAAATTTGAAGAATTGGGACTAGCAGATAGATATAAAGAATAGATTGTAGTTTTTATATCTTAGCTTACAATTTGTAAAGAATTATTTTGGAAATAATTGCAAATGATAGTGATATAGGTGAGTAGGTGCCAACCTAGTTGGGATTTACTTATCTATTGTGATGCGATTAATTCCAAAATAAATTTGTACTTGTAATTTGTAACTGATTTATCAAAAAATCACTACCATTGATTAAGTTTTGATGGTATCATGGTGATAGTCCCATACAAAATGTGACTCCAATATATAATTAGGGATATTATAGAAAATCACTACCATTGATTAAGTTTTGATGGTATCATGGTGATAGTCCCATACAAAATGTGACTCCAATATATAATTTGCTTAGGGCAAGTCTGGTATTATTAAAGTTTATTAAGCTGCTTATAAGATCAGTTTATAGAAGCAACTTATATAAGTTGTCGAACTAGCAGTTTGATAATTAAATATAAAAAGCTGTTTATAAGATAGTTAATGTGTTAAGTAGAACTATGTTTAATGATCACTGTTAAAAAGATAAATGATAAATAACATATAGACTAAAAACCTTAAGTTGCTTTTAAAAACATCCTCAGATTACTTTTAAAAGTACATTCTTGAAAATAAAATCAGTTTCAATAACCATGCCGAATTTTTTTTCACCGCACTATTATTAGATGCTTCTTGAAAAAATAAGCAGAAGTACATTAAAATAGCAATACCAAATTGGCCCTGAAAGGATCTCAAGACCTAATATAAAATTTTGAAATCCATATGATCTATAAATATATAAACCGGTTAGGGGTTTATATTGAAACTTAGGATCTATAAATATATAAACCGGTTAGGGGGTTACATTGCTTCTTCAGTCCAGCTATTTCCTGGACGGAACCGTTAAGAGAGTTATATTAAGATTATTATCGGATCAAAACTACGGTTAAGTATCCCGATCAAAGAGAATAGACAAAATAGGCCCATTCAAGCTAAAGCCCAAAATATTTAAGGACGAAAGCCCCTCATTGCGGGCCGAAACAACTGTTGGATCCCAAACCTGACAAGAATTCTCATTACGCGCTTGAAATAAATTCACATAAATTCTAATCCATCTCAGACTTCACCCAATGATAGTTACGTGTTCTACAGAATTATATCTTCCGTGTTGACGAACGCAAACCCTTTCCATATAATATATCTCCTAATTTATTTAGACCGACTTAAACTCTCCTATTAATATAGTAAGTAACAACTCACCTTAAAAAATTATTTTCCCTATTCCTATCGATATACTCTTTAGTCCCATCATACGTACATACAATATAAATAAACCACCTTATCTTCTCCTTTCTCAAACCATTATATACCACGTTGGGATCTTCTTCTTCTTCAGCTTCTTCAAAACTCTATTCAACCATCAATGGCGCGCCCCAAACCTCTGTCAGCCAAAGTCGGGCCACTGAAGCGAAAGAAAACGAACAAAACCGAATGCACGCAGAAATCTACAAGCCCTCGAAAGAAGAATAAAATCGGTGTAGACGCTGAATTCGATGGGCCTTTTCGATCGAACATAAGCCTTTTTCTTAACAAGTATGGACGCGAGATGCCACCGCCGATGACTGTCTTGCATGGCAAAAACATGTTGCCGTGTATGCTGACATGGGTTGTCATGTTGGAGATTGCCGGTGCACGGGTTACCATGCATGTTGTAGAGGAGGATGTGCGTAGATCTAGATCGGTGTATTGTGATAACTGCAAAGTTGCAGGTTAGGCCTGATTGTTTCCTTTGTCGCAGTTGCAGTCGTAAAATCTACCATAAGCAAAACTAGTCAGAAGAAATAACATAATTGTTGACATATTATGTGTGAATGTAGTTGAAGTTTACAAGTAAGCTGGAACTGGAACCCAATAACATTAAGTTCTTTTTTTTAATTCATTGAACCAATTTGAACTAACAGACAACTCATTATTTATCAGAAGAAAAGAACTATGAACAACGATGGTAAATTGGGTCAGATATGCATAATGAACAAGCTATCCTTGAAACAATTACATCCTTTAAGTTGCCTCATTCCACATATATTTAGTTCTTATCGAGGTTTAGTACCAATCGCAGTTTCAGTTTGCTCATTTGTTGGTAGTAGTAACAAGAGTTTCGACAGCTTCAGTGGTGAATACAAATCAAAATTATAGATATATGGGTGGAATTACGAGTTCAATAACAGGCTTTGGTTTCTCCCTTATTTTCCTGAATTACAGCACTACTAATTATTATCCATTTTACTTAGTTCAAACAATATTTGTGACATACATTAACTTCAACTGGATATGATTTAGAGGATAATTATATAATACGCGCAATATACATTGGTCGAACTATACTTTATATCTTGTCACCCAATTAACTATTAATCTATCTTTCACGACGAACACGCTTGGAAGCTAATATGACCTATCAATGGGTATCAATGGATATGATTTTTCAATTTGGAATCATCTCAAACGACTTCCCTTGTTTCATCATTTGATTAATTGAATTTACTTCTAACTACCAAGGGATGTATTAATTTCTCGTCCTCACATTTTGCATGTTGACACTTAATCCATATCAACAATCCGATACAACTGACGTTGCAGATGGGGTCATTAGCTTTGCAACCTAGCTTTGTGGAGTAGCAAGCAGCGGGATAGCAAAACCTCAGTTTCGCAAGCTTTCGTGTTTCCATCTTGGTTGTATATAATCAAATAGATCCTAATTGACATCTCTTTGACATGTTAAAAATCATAAAAATCCTTTCCCATGTATTCTCAATTGGAACAACCTCTAGTTTTGGATGTGTATTAATCTCTTATCCTATCTGCTAGTATTGCCACTTAATCTGCCTCACTATTAACACTCTTTTTCTCTGTTTCGGGTTCCTGCTTCCTATTAAACAACCTCTGGAAGTGATCCTACCTCTTTCTTCAGCTTTTAAAGCATACTTTGACCTAAATTCTTAAGATACTTTATCAAGTTCATCGTTGACATCTCACGCTAACAAGACTCCCTCTCACCATTCCTCCTATACATACAAACATGGAAACTTGTTCTGATACATATGCAAGTGGGCCAAGAAAGCAATATGCATAAATGTGCATATGAAGTTCACCAAATCACTCAAATTAAAAAAAAGATGAGAAACAGTATTCAATGCGAGATGGTCAAACATAGATAAACATATTCAGTTAATATATAATTTTCCTACATATCTGATTTCATTGCCTAATTACGTGTTTCCTAATATTATATAGGTTGGGGTAGCCATCCTGTTTGCAGAAAGCGATACCACTTCATTCTTCAAAATGACAGCAATCTACAAAGCTCTCCTCAAAGCTGCCCTTACTGCGGTATGCAATCTTCAGATTTAAGGTGGGATTTATCAGTTCCTCATAAATAATTTCCCATTGGAATTATTAGATTTCTTTAGTCTGGAGATTGTCTTCAGAAGCAATTAGGTTAAAAAGAACAAGTTCCTTACAAGTCCAGAACTTCTGTTTAATCAATTGGCCTTTCTGCAGGTGCACCTCATGCAATTACATGTTAACGGTTGCTGATCTAGACTACAGAACCTATCTTAAACTGCAGGAATCTACTCATTTGATGCATGGATTGGTGCATAGTAATGGTTATGGACACCTTCTTCGAGTCAATGGCCGAGAAGGGGGATCTCAGTCTATAACAGGATCAGACATCATGGGCTTTTGGGATCATTTATGCATGATGCTCCAGGTTAGGTATGAAAAATTACTATACTCAATAAAATAAAAACCACAGAAGCACTTGATTAATTTTACAGCATTAATGGATTAACTAGTTTAAATAATGGGTTCATCAATGCAAAGATTAAGAAAGCATCACATACCTCAACTTGATAAGCCATTTAAATGCCAGAGAAATTACCGTAATGGACGTTTCCAAGAAATATGGAATGGAGTATCGTCTCCTTCACACAGTCACCAATGGGCATCCTTGGTATGGAGAGTGGGGCTACCAATTTGGAGCAGGATGCTTTGCTCTCACCGGTGAAGCTCGCAATAGTTCTGTGGAGAATCTTTCCAACATTCCTCTGTCTCTCTTCTTTTCTCATGCCCGCTCATCACGAACACGTTTACAGAGTACCATTTCACTGTATCAGTCTCTCTCTGATTGCCAACTATTAACGGTGAGGGACCTTTTCTGCTTCGTGACAAAACTCCTCCATGATGACCATGGACAAGAAAGAGCACAGAACACTGAAGGAAAAGTACAGTCAGAAGCGCATCAAGGAGTGCTATGTGCATGGACGAAGTCAGATGTCGAGAGGGCAGAGGATGTCCTGATCAAGGTTCTTCAATCAATTTCTGGATATCAGTGGATATCGTGGAGAGCGCTTAGGGGAGCCACATGCAGAGCGGTGGGATCTCCAGAGCTGCTTGATTATTGTCTCAAAGGATTGGGAGGTAGAATAATTAATGGTACTTTGGTGGTTGCAGTTAGATGCAATCCGGAGACATGTTGTATAGAATACAGGTAAGCTTGATCATTGATCTTGCTTTTTGAAATAAGGTAGAGAAACCTCATACACTCAATCCGTTTTAACACCCCTGATGCAGGCTTGAAGCTGATTCAAAACAGTTGGGTCATGCCAATGATCCTCGTAGACCATCAAGAGATCATCTCCTCCATGATCTAAGGTTCTTGTATGATGCACTCCTCAACCCAAGTACAATGGAACACTACAAGCCAGAAGGAAGGAGGGAAACCGCACTAAACTCAGCAATAACTCTTCTTGACTGTAAGCAACTTGTTAAGCGCTATGATGAGGTTGGTTGCAGCCCATCTAAACTTCGAATATGGTGCAATGTCGAGTTGGCAAGTGAGCAAAATGGCAACAGTGCCCTTCCACCAGAGTTATTGGTCCTTCCAAAAAATGCCACCATCTCATCCCTGAAAAAGGAAGCAACAAAGGCCTTCCAGGAGACATACCTGATCTTCCAAAGACTACAGGTTGTCCAACTTCTGGGTTTTGAAAAAATCGATCATTCTACTTCGGTTGCGCTAATACTTGGACTTAGTGGAACTGTCAAGGTCAGAGTGAGGTGCCTTGGAGTAGATCATAAGCTTGAAGATTTCAGGATGGAAAGGGGAGTGGAGAATTGGGAAGTAGACTGCATTTGTGGAGCCAAAGATGATGATGGTGAGAGGATGTTAGAATGCGACTCTTGTGGTATATGGCAGCACACAAGATGTAATGGAATTAAAGATCACAAGGACGCGCCTAAAACTTTTTTTTGTATAAAGTGTAGGATAGTTGAAATTAGAGACCAAGATAGTGGTAGTACTCACGGTTGTGACAATGTTAGGAAATATACGACTAACATCTCTCCTAACTCCACCTGCAAGGATAAAATAGCACTAGCGTCACCTGAAGCAGGTACCGTCTCCTGTAGTAGTGGTGTCTCCTGTAGGAGCTGTTGCACATCAGTTGCCATCTCTTGTAGTAGTAGTAGCAGTGTCTCCTGTAGCAGCGTTTGCAAGGATGAGGTGACCGTAATGTCATCAATAATCAAAAGTTCGTCAATAGTTAAAAGTAGAGGCCAGGACAGTGAAAGTAGTGGTGGTTGTGACAGTGGTCGGAAATATACGAATGACATCTATCAGAGGTTTGCCTGCAAGGATAAAATAGCTTCAGCCTCCACTGAAGCATGTAGCACCTTCCATACTAGCAGTTGTAAGTATGAGGTGGCTGTAATGTCGTCCATTGAAGGAGGCAGTTTAATGTGCACGATTGCTGTGATGTAACTTGTTCTGTTTGTATAGTTTTCTTCCTTAGGAATCATGGTTAATGAGAAATACTTTTGGTCATAATATGAGTTTTTGCATTTTTTTCCTTTATCCAATGCAACAGAGCCTTCTTGCAGCTTTACCCTTTCTCCTGAACAACGTAAAACCATGATATGTATAGGCCTTAAGCTTCCGGAATGCCTTGAGATTCTGGTGCTGCACTAAACCTGTATGATATAAGAAACTAGCATTTATAAGCAACTTAAGATAATAAACATGGTTTCATCAGCGATATTATAGAAATACAACATTTACAATTTCATTAGCGATTTTATAGAAATGCAATGTTCACAAAGTAACTCCTGGAAGAAAAAAAAAAGCGAAGTTTGAGCAATGTAAATTAGATCAACAAGGACGATGTATATAGCATGTTGTTAAATACGTTTTTAGTACTTTTAAATCTTAAAACGCCACAACCTACTGAAAATTCTATAACCCCAAAAACAAATTAAGTTAAAAAATTACTGTTTAAATGTAACATGATGAAAATATGCTATGGGGAATCTATGATGAAGCATGTCACATCATCATCAAGCAATAAAGTAATGTAAGAAAGGGAATATTCATCATCGTTCACAAATGTGATGTGGAAAGGAAAAATTGGATATATTTGTGTTAAAAGTTGCAACTATAAAAACAGCAATATCAAGATAATAAGCATCTTACAAACTCAACTAAAAGCCATCTCTTGTTCCTTACTTCTGCAAACTCTTTTAGAAATTGTGACCTAAATCTTGGCATTGTATCGTAGTTAAGTATAAGAAGTTTCAATAGAAATTACAAATGTCCAGGGTCAATGAGGAAGAATCGGATCGGAGGACTCCGATCTGAGGGGAATATGGATGGAAAATCGGTTCTGATCCGGATCTGATCAGCTTTGATGGATGACATATGAATCTAAAGGGCAATTGTTTGCTTCTCACCTGAATAGTAATGGGTGAAGGATAAACCACGTAACTTTTTTTGAAAGAAAGGTGTAAATACAAATAAAATATAAATACAAATAAAGTTGCACAGGTATAAACACAGAAACAAGAGATGGGATTCACGCCGAAACTCATTAATATTCATTAATCAAAGTCTGTTCTCAGAAATAACAATTACACTTATCTATAAAAGAACCTTAATGCCAAAAGATAGAAAGAAATATTCTCACTAACTAAAATGTCCATAGAAACTAAATTCATAACTAAAAATCAAACCTCATAAGAACTACATTATCCTAAATGCCTATGTTGCACAGGTACGAGTGCAGGTGTGGACATGGGTGCAAATATGGGACGCGGAAAATTTATAAAAAGTAGAATATGGGGACACGATATATATAGACATTGAATTTAATAACCTATATGAGATTGGTATTGTTTTTTTCATTCACCTGTTATGAGAAATAAAATCTCTTCTTTTATAAATAGATCATAAATTGAAAATTGCTCGTTTTTTTTTAACTAGATAGGCAAACATCCTTTAAAATCACACTTACAAACTGGGTATGCGTGAAAGAAACCCGAATCGAGTCCAACGAGTTGCATGAATTTGAAGTGAAGTGTAAGATATGAGTCCAAGAAATTTTAAACTAAAACATGGATTATATAATTAAGTTACACGTCTGGATAAATGTATGTCTATATTCAACAGGTGTCCAAGGAGTGTCGAACATGAACACGGTTATGGGAAGCATCGAACATGGATACGGGAACTCAGGTGGAGTGTCCTGGTAATGTAGCTAACTGCAAAGATAAAACAAAATTTCCTAATTATTATTTTTAGTTGATTCAAATCATATCTTGAAGGTTGTACTGCATTAAATCTGTCATTGTTGGAAAAAACTCGACCTCGAGTGTTATAAGGGGAGAACATAAAAATTCCTTTGACCGGTGAGAAGCATTCTTGCGCAGACTACAGGGGTTTCAACTTTGTGCAGAACTTGATATTGGGTTATGGAGAAGCATCTGGCATGAGGAATTCAATTATTGAGTGAACTTGAAGTAAATCAAACTGGACCTTAATCTGATTTTGTGTCGTGATTTCAACCTTAGTCTAGGGTTCAGACTCTTAACTCTAGCTCGAGTTCGGATCTGCTTCCTGATCTTGTTCTGGTTCTTGTTCTAACTCGGACTCCAAGTTTAACTCGAGTTCTGACTCTGGTTTTGACTTAGGCTCCACTTCTAGCCTTGATTTTTATCGAACTCAAGTTCAGACTACAATTCTACATCTGACAGGAATCTAGACAATAGTGTTGCTTCCTTCAGGCTTTGATGAGAAACAATAATATCTTCTAGTTGGTTAACAAGCGTATCTCCTTTCTAGAAGAGATTTCATAGGTTCCCACAAGCTTATATCTAGATGATTACGTGAAATCTTTAGCTTCCCTTTTTGAGCCAACACCTAGCATAGAGTTCTATTTCTGACATCCCATGAATAGAAAATGTATCTTCAATTTTGCATATCTTGACTTCAAGATCATGTAGTTCCTCATATTCTTCAAAACCAAAAAAATAAGATAAAGTACCTAATTATAGTGGACCGAAATTATACTGGTGTGAAGGAGATAAAGATATGGTAGGCAAGCTAGCTGTGGATCTTTAGGCTCTGATACTAATTGATGTAAGATTTTACCCGACTCTGATCTGAGGCGAACATGGATGGAAAATTGGATATGATCAGGATCTGTTCACTTTTGATGGATGACCTTTGAATCTAAATGACAATTGCTTGTTACACGTGTGTAACAGGTGAATAGTAATCCATGAACAATAACTGTTTGAAAGAATGTAAGGTGGGGATGATTAGGCTAGAGGGGAAAAAAGAAAATTTTAAATACAAATAAAGTTGTGGCCTTCACATCGTAGGTTAATCGCATATCTATAGACAAAAGAAGCAACTAACATGCTTACACAGAGGTTTTCTTAAAACTCAGGAATTTTCATTAGTCACGGTTTGTTCTAAAAAATAATTACACTTTTTATTTTGGAAAAAAAACCTAATGCCAAAAGATAGAAAAAATATCCTTCCTACCTGAAATCTCAATAGAGAATAAAATCAAAGCTAAAATATCAACTACATTGTCCAAACTGAAAAGATAAAACAAAATATTGTAACTACTTTTTTCCCATTGACTCAAAAATCATATCTTGTACGTTGTCTTGCATCAGTTAAGATACATGTAGCATGGTTATTCTACAATGAAGTCATACCCATGTCGGACACCTTGATCCCTTATGTCAGAAATGAGACTTAGATCCATGTTCTACTATTCTCATACCCATGTTTGTTGTTAGTTCTCAGATGTCTCCTTAATCATACAATGCAAGTTTTAATTTAGAACCCTATTGAAACTCATAATGCACGTTCTACAATTCTCATACATTTTTTTCATTCGCAAATTATGTTTGAGATATTTATTTTCTTCCAGATATACATCAAAGACTACGCTTCAGTGCTAAAAAGATATGCAGGTTTAGATGAGTTTACATATGTTTAGCTACTCTACAGAAATATGAAGACATAAAGATCATCATTTCACAAAGTCTAGTACATGTACGTAACAGTACGTTATTGTTATAGTCTATATGTATGCTTAGCATGGTCAATGTATAAGAAATAATCAACAAGATTTTTGGTGCACATGCATGTGTACAGTCGTATTCATATGAATTCTCTCTATATCAAATATGTGCACGTCTAGACACACATTCTAGTGTCATGTCACCATACGCGTAGTTCCATACATCCAACTTTTTGAGTAAATATTACATTCCATATTCACGTTTATATCATACACATACCTTGTATTTGTGGTAATGTTTCTCAGGGGTAGGACTTAGGGAGGGGTGACAGACGAACAGTCAAGCAACTTGTCCATGGTGGATATCTTTTAAATAAAGGGTGACAGAACAACTTATAAGATTTGCAGGTGGAATATAGTATAAAGATTTGAGGGGATAAATTGAAAAAAGGAAGACTTCAGAGAGGAGGCGAAGGAGGAGGGGTGTGAGGAAGCACAAAAGTAAGCCATAAAGAAAATGAAAAAAAATAATTGAAATACAAAAGTAGGAGAGCTACTGAATAATCTTCACACCGGTTCACATTCCTGAAAATAGATGTGAGAGAAGATATGTAAATGCATGTCAAAATTTATATGTCACCTTGCTAGTTTGTTAATGTAAACATTGATGCAGCAATGAACACAAGGATACAATTAAACCAAAAACTCTAATCAAGGGACTGTCTCTTATTCCTAATGAAAACTTATCTATATGAATAATGGAAAAATCCTTAACTATGACGACGCCATGTGCTAGCTCTAGGGATGTGAATGCAAGAAGAAAGATCAATGAGATTGATATCAAATAACTAAACATAAACACAACCATTGTAAGCTATCATTATACAAGATACAATTCCCTACCACGCTGGACAAGTTTAACAGGTTGAATAAGACCCTCAGGAGCATTACGAATTGCACAACCTTCAAATAACATCAGTATCTAGTCCGAAAGAAAAATAGCGAACACTTTGGCTAGGGTTATCATGGATTTGAATGAATGAGGTCATAGTAAAAAAGAAATGGATTAAAGGCCTCCCTCAAGCTGGCTTCAAAGTGGGCAACACTTTGAACCACTACTGCTTGCTTACACATGTTCAAGTAGAAACCAAAATAGAGGGTAAACGAGAATCTAGGACTTTCTTAGTCGATTAGAAACCATCACAGTCAAGATCGATTGGTACAAATATTTAAAAACAATCAGGTTTTGGATTGCGTATAAACTAAAACACCCTAAATGACTTATACCAGTTGATAAACCAATGTTTTAACAAAGGATTTGACTTATTAAGACTCAATAAGCTGACTAAGGAACTAGCTAAACAAGAAAAATACACAGTCGACCAAAGTTCGACTAAACCAATTTATAGAACTACCGCTTCCTACTCCAATTGCTTTATGCATGAAATGTTTAAAGTTTCTCATCACACAGTCAACAAAAACTACGATGTTAAAAATGAAAATATTTTTCATGTCTATTTTGCATATTTTAGATAGATAAACAGAAATAGGCTCTGCAACAAGTTTCTAGGACTAAATCACATCTAAAAGACTTAACATCAACAACACAAGTTGTGCATATTCCACATTTTCAAAATCACAACCAAAAGATAGTATATATAGAGAAAGGCCTATTAAATTGTGTGCTGCAGTTTCTTTGTTTTAGAGATGCAATGGAATGAATTTATAAATCGAGGAATTATAGAAATACTAGAAGCAAGATTTTCAACCACTGTGGCTCAGCATAAGCAGTTGAAAGTCTACGACGAACAAGCAGCTGAAAGGCTATGAACTCATATTACATGTTTCTTCTAGAAATAACAGCTTCCATTGTGTATATCCAGTTCCTTGTTTCAGGAATTCAATCTAAGGGATGACAGAAATAAAATCATTAAATATAGGAGTCACAGGAACACTGGAAGTAAGATTTTCAATCAGTGGATGCCCGATATAAGTAGTTGATGGGTTATGAGCTCAACTTCCAACGTTATTCTGGCAATAACAATTTGTTCCAAGATTCAAATAATTGCAGCACCTCAAATATAAAAAAAAAAACCAGAAGCGGATTTAATATTATGTGAATCCATCATGACCTAGTTATTTATCATCATTACAGCTATATAATTCAAAAATGCCAACATAGAATAAAACTTAACCAATGCCTCTAAGATACAGAAAATGATCTTTCAGTGCAAACACTGGTCCTTCCTAGAATCACTGATGCAAGTCAGAGAACGGAGTCAACTGCAAGTTGTATTAACTAGGTTATTTATTCAGGAGAGAATCTTTTACACAATTTTACCTGAGAATGATTACAATTTAGATAAATCAATACAATAGAGAAACTTTCGGTTATCTAGTAGAAGAAATTAGGATTTCTGCGCATATAGTGTTGGTGAAGAGCATGACCTATCTCCTACCTGAAAGTTGATTTCTTTTGTTTTATTTCCTCAGATAGCTTTTGTTCCAACTTCCAAGTCTATTGTTTGTGTTCAAAACTACATTTGATCATATTTTTCTCTCCTGCAAATCTTTTTCATACTGGAGATAAAGTTTCCAAAATCAGCGACGTTGCAAGCCTTGATTCAATCAGTTTCCATGCAGAACATTCATTCCCATAGTGCTCTATACTTGAATTGCAAGCTACGTTACCTAGACTCGGGTACGAGTATCCGATACGGGTGTGGATCTGAGTGTCCGATACGAAATTTTTTCTTTTCGTTTATGATAGGAAAGCACATTTCTGAGCACAACGAAAGAGTATAACAGAAAGATACAAACACTTCGCTGCGGCTTGAACCAAAAAGTATGACAGAAATATGTTGTTATAGAGGAAAAACTTTGCATTCTGATAGAATTAGAAAGAAAAAGCCCTGACTTAGGACTTTCCGATATTTAGGTACTTGATCTATGAAAACATCATACATTGTCATGTAACTCATATCTCTATGAGGTGTAAATCTCGCAAGTGAAAATGAACCATGCCCTACGTTACCTAGACTCGGGTACGAGTATCCGATACGGGTGTGGATCTGAGTGTCCGATACGAAATTTTCTACGTTACCTAGACTCGGGTACGAGTATCCGATACGGGTGTGGATCTGAGTGTCCGATACGAAATTTTTGAAAATTTTGGATACGGGGACACCGTCCTAAATTTCGACACGGGTACGGAGATACACTTTTAATAATAGTTTAATTTATTTAATGAATTATGAAGTATAACTAATTAAATTCAAAAAATATTAATTTATTGTTTTTGGGATTGTAGGTATTTTATAATTTTTGCCGCATGCTCTGAAATCTATAAATTAATATATATTTCAGTGTCCGATACGAAATTTTTGAAAATTTTGGATACGGGGACACCGTCCTAAATTTCGACACGGGTACGGGGATACACTTTTAATAATAGTTTAATTTATTTAATGAATTATGAAGTATAACTAATTAAATTCAAAAAATATTAATTTATTATTTTTGGGATTGTAGGTATTTTATAATTTTTGCCGCATGCTCTGAAATCTATAAATTAATATATATTTCAGTCGCCTATTAGAGTAGTGTTTGAAAGTAAAAAAAAGAAGAAGAAAAAATAAAGTTGGTGTAGGGAGAGGAGATTGCTACGAAGGTTATTTATTTTTCCAGTCTTTGGTTAACTCCACGATGAGCTATCTTCTGAACAACACTGGGCCGCTGAGAATAAGTACATTTCTATGAAGGATGTATTTCTTGAGCCATTTTGTAAACTGTCAGCCCACAAACTTCAGGCCTGGCCCATTAATAACTCTACAGGCTTGCTCCATCATGGCATTCTGGTAATTTTTAGCGATCTCTTGAGGACAAATACACAAAGTTATCGATACCCCATTTTTTCCTAGGGTTTCTCCGTGCCATCTCTATCTGGAGCCGCCCCAAAAAAAATAAAAACCCTTGTTGTGAACGACCAGCCACCTCCGCCTCCTCCATCAACGATGAGGAGTCATCTCCTCCCCCTTCCTTCGTCGACGACGAGCAGCCGCAGCCCCCGCCGCCTCCTTCGTCGACGACGAGCAGCCGCAGCTGGAGCTAAGTATGTAAATTTATCTTTTCTTTCTCTAATTTTCTTTTCTTTCTCTTTTTTTTTTTGGTTTTTCTTTGGCCGTATCCGAGTGACAACCACCGTATCCGAGCCGCATTTCGTATCCGGATCGGTGTCGGGTCGGATCGATGCCGGTACGGCGGTCAAACCGCTGTGTCCGAGTAACGTAGATTGCAAGTTTCTTTCAGAAAATAGTTGAAAAGAAAGCTCCTATTATCCTTAGATTTCAGTGCTCTATCATCCCTAATTGCTTATGCCCATCAAATATACCCTAAATTCACACTCATCATACTTATTTATGATCTTACTATATACGGATCAGAAATTCCATAAAGAAATATCACAACAATACTTCAATAAGCCCAACATTACAAAACCCCTTAAAATATAAATCATACCTGAACCATAGAAACCTTAACAAATACTTCAATAAGCCTCGATTCAGTCAGTGTCTAGAACTTTCATTCTGTAGAAGTCAGTATCTAAACTGCAAGTTTGTTTCAGATAAACAGTTCAGATCTTTCTTCGCTAAAATCTAATAAACATCAAGTCTACTTATTTATTTGTCTAAGGATCCAAGAAAATATCAGTAATCTTCCTACGTCCATGAGTCCATCAAATAAACCCTAAATTCAGACTAACCTTTCCAGTGTTTTATCATCTCTACTCTACGTACCTCCATCAAATTAACCCTAAATTCACACTCTTTATACTTGTTGTCATCCAAAATGTATGCAGAATTGCAGATCATAAATTTCTAACAATAAATCAAGAAAATACTTCAACTAGCCCTAAGTTACATAACCCCTTAATATCTAAGCCCTACGAAACCACAAAAACCCTAAGCAAATCCTATAATAAGCCTCCATTCAGTCAATTTGCAGAGCATTCATTCCCATATGACTATCCACTTGAACTAAGATTTTCTTTCATATAAATAGTTGAACTCCAATACTTCATTAAAATGTAATACACATCGACCATATTTATTCACCAAAGCTTCTATTTAGCCCTACATTTCAGTGTTTTTATCATCACTATCTCATCCGTACATCCATCAAATCAAACCCCAAATTTACAATCTTTACACAAGAAAGGACTTCAATCAAACCCTAAAATTGCATAACCCCTAAAAACATAAATCCTACGGATCGACAGAAACCCTAAACAGTTCACTAATCAATAAATTTATAAATCACCAAATTACAGAAGGTCTATAAACACAGAAGAGAAAATATAGTTCTACCAAATCAACTTAAAATTACGTTATTTATACTTATTTATCATCGAAATTATACACAAATCAGAAAATAAATAAATAAATACCAATCAAATACTTTACCCTCAAATTTTGGGGACCGCTGCATGAATTGAACCCCAAATTACATACCCCTAAAAATGCAAAAGCCTAAATTACGAAAACAATGAGATAATTCAATGAAACCCTATATAAGTTCGCTCGAAAATTACTTGAGATTATCCTGCTTGGGTTTTAAGCGAGCCCAAGGAGGAGAGGGGGAGGGCAAGGTAACGGAATCAGTTGTGAACTTGTTAGCTGTAATGAAGTGAAGCATATATCAGTTTTTTGTTTTGGGTCGGGTTGAGCTTGGTAGTGTGGCCTCATCTAATGTTACAGAGTGCGACGGACTGAACCGGGCCCAAAACTAAAAAACCGACATATATTTTTGGGTTGTTTTACATATATACCCCTCATATATTCCAAATTTACAACATTACCCCTAATGCTCTTACATTGTTTATTTCTACCCCTTTCACTTAACATTTTTAATTTTTAAATGAGAAATTGTTGCAAGACTATTGAAAATTATTGGGAATTTTCACATTGCCTTGTTTAAAAGAGCAACATTCTTAAGTGGGAGCACTAGAAAGACTTAACATGCTAGTTTTGTTGGGTAATTTCGCGAATAAAAAATTTGAGATGTACTTTTGTAAATTTTGAAGATTTGAGGGTATATATGCAACCTCCTCCTCCCCTTGCAACCCCCCCCCCAATAAAAAAAACGCTTTTTTTAATGAAATATTCGACTTGGCATGTTATTACTTTAATTTGGAGCAGATTATCATAAGCAAGAATAGCAATATAAGTTGAAGTTTTATTTTTTGATATCAATCTTATTTTTGACTAGTGCATACCCTACTTTCTTCTTTCTTTTATTTTCCTAGTTATTAAATGTTGCATATTGTTAATGATAAAATGATATATTGATTAATTATCATACTCATACAATAGTACAGTTTCCTTGAAAATTACTATATAAATCAATTATTTAGTGATGGGGCCTGGTTCAATCCCCGCACTCCGTAACATCGGATGCAAGTCACACTACCAAACCCAACCCGGCCCAAAATAAAAATTGATATATGTTTCGCTTCATTACAGCTAGCAAGTCCACAACTTATTCTGTTACCTTGCGCTCCCTCTCTCCTCCTTGGGCTGGCTTAAAACCCTAACAAAATAATCTAAGGTATTTTTCGAGCGAACTTATTTAGGGTTTCATTGAATTATCTCATTGTTTTCGTAATTTAGGTATTGCATTGTAATGGATCATGTAATTTAGGGCTCGGTTCATGCAGTGGACCCCAAAATTTGGAGATAAAATATTTGATTGGTATTCCGTTTTTCAATTTCTAATCCTTATATTGTTTCGATAATAAATAAGTATAAAGAGCGTGTATTTTGGGTTGATTTGGGAGAACACTTTTCTCTTCTGAGTTTATAGACTTTCTATAATTAGGTTAGGTGCTTATGAATTTATTTCTTTTTAACTTAAACATTATTCATACGGCAGTAAATGTTCACCTTTTGACCATATTCTTTGTGTTACAGTAACATTTTTGGCCAATTATCCACTATTCAAGCTGAAGTACAATTTTTTGTTCTGCTATTTTTTTTAAATATTGTTCACATCTACCTTTTTTTGGTTCTTGCAAATGATGATTTTAACATGTATCAGACATTTCATAAATATAAATCTTTTCTAGCTATATTTAAAAAAATTAATAAAACTTGCTAATTGGCATATTATTTTGTTAACTGGTTTGGTGATTTACTCTGTAAATAGCAATAAAAAATGTCACTGAAGTTTTTACAAATAGTTATATATGAAAATTATATTATCAATTTGGCGACCCATATACCTTGGTAAAAATACCTGTAGCAATGCACGTGCTTAATACTAGTAAAAGAAAAGAAAAGAAAAGGCAGTTAGAGAAAGAAAACAATGTAGCTTCATAAGCCCATCTAACATAATGTAGACTAGATGGCAATTTATTGGCATTCCGCTAGCATAGACTCTCCGCTCAATTGTGAGTTAGAGGGCCAACTTTGTATGCAAAGACATGAGTCAACTTGTCTTATGCTTCTTCCAAAATAAAATATTGTTATTCTTTCTTATAAGATCATTACACAGTTAAAGAGCTTCCTCCTAATGCTAATGCTGCTTTTGATATCGTAAAATAACTATTTCAAAATAGCATACCGCATCGAGATAAACAAGCCAATATAAGAAGAAGAAAAAGAAAGAAAAACTCAGTGTTTAGGATAGGAAATCCTTCTTTTTAAAAAGAAAAAACTTTACGAAAAATGTCCTATCGGCAAGATATACTTTCGTATTGCGCCTCAATTAATTTTTCAGGCTCAAGTAGACCTATATTTAACACAAAATCCAAAAAAAAGAGGTGTACTAATTAGATTTAGCATTTAAAATATAGAAAAGCTTATGGTATTAAACTGTGAAGTTTTAGTAAAGGGCTCCTATCCTGGAGATATATCAGCATCTTGATGAGATACCAGCCTAGATTATTTATTTTGCTTTGCAGTGGTTAATAATTCCTCTGTAAGACTAATTACCTACAACATCAACCATTGCACGAATATCAGCTTCAAAATTACAAGCCAATCCAATAATTAGAATACAGATTTAAATTTTTACTTTTGAACTTCGAATGTCAGCATGAACATCTATTTCCAAGCAGGCAGTCTATCACGATACACAAGCCTGCAAAGGAACCAAGAATAAACGGTGATGGGCATCTTTCTAAAACTACGATTTGTCACCTACTGCTGTTTTGTTCAGTCATAATTCCTCATAAAGCTCCAATAGCTGCAAATAAGACTTCTGTTTTCCTTTACTCCCAACGTTTTTTTTTCCTTAGATAAACACCTTTCTCACCTTCCATGTTCACGAAAATCAAAATCTCCATCAAATAGTGACTTCCATCATGTCACCAAATCATATTTTGTCTCATGCTTATCTGATACCAAAGGTTTTAAATGTCGGATGTCGAGTTCATGTCGGATGGCTAAAATTCATGTCGGATAGCGAAAATAGGGGATATGTCAGGGGACATGAAAAACATATCGGATTGTCATATCGGATGGTGTGCATATGTGTAATATAAATATCATAACTGAAACCTAAACATACTTAATAAATTCTATTATCTAAACATATAAAAAAAATAAATAACTTATTATACTTAGGGTTGATGTTAAAGGAAAAAAGTGAGAAAAGAGGAGTCTGATGTTGATGGTTAAGGAAAGAGAAGATCACTCGATATTGATATCAAATGAACAGCTCGAAGAAGAGACCGATGAGATGTCGAAGGAGAGAGAAGATGAACGATGGAAATGATTTCAGTTGTTTTTTCTATTTTTCCTAATTGATCGGGTTTTATCTTTGGAAGCTATACTAAGAAATTAATAATTTAAACACAAACTTGATTAGATATACATAACCAAAAGAACAAAAAAGTTAATTTTCAGACTGAAAAATCGGCCGATACAGCCGACATGTCCCCCGATATATCCGCCCGACATATCGGATATGTCCATCGATATATAAAACATGAACCTTGAAAAAGCAATACGCATTGAAAAACTTCATATCGTGTCGGCCGGCCCCTAAATCCGACATGTACGACATGTCGGCCGACATTTAAAATACTATTAATACCTCCTAAGAAACAAAACAAGGACAAAGGAGAAAGACACTACCATCTTTCCGAAATTTACATGGAAATATGGCAACGAAAATAATTACCACAATCTTCAATTTTCTCTTTATCTAACCAATACAGGTTGGAATAATTTTCAAGAGTTTGAAAATTTTTATACAAAATATAAACTATATTTGATACACGATAAACATAAGACAAAAGGAACTTTAAGGAAAACCTCACCTCTTCAAGCTCTTTTTCCATGTCTGCATACTCTAGTTTCCCGGCTCATCAACCAAAAGTTTTCTAACCTATACAACACGAAGAAGAAGAAACAACCATAAGCGAAAACATTCCTTTATATTTTTAAGGGAACAACAAGGTTACTGATAGTGGATTGTGTTGCATAGCGATGAGGCACCGCTAAGACTATTTGGAGCTATAGCGGCAAAAGGCGCAAAGTTGAATAGCAGTCCATTTAAATATGTATAAATATTCAAAAAATAAAAAAATCTAAAAATTCTACAAATACATCTTTGATAATTTATAGAGATCCTAAGAATGAAATAGACGTTTAACAATCACATAATATGAAAAAAATACTATACAGAATGAAAGAATGTATATGTTTATCAAGAAGATTGTTATTTGTCTCATTCTTTCAACTTTCAATTCTCTAATAGAAAAATTCTAAACAATAGAAAAATATTGATTAGTAGAAACATAATTGTATTAACTATTTGAAACTTGACATAAAAATAAAGTCTTCAAGCATAGATAAATGAGCACTATGTACCGCTATTTACCGCTACTCCGCGCTTTCGAGCGCTATGGCCAGTGGAAAGTGCTCACGAGCGCTATTCTTCACCGTAATCAATGAAATCGTAGCAGTAAGCTCCCCTACCGCTATTTGTGCCGCAATAGGGCCGCTATTGGCCGCTATTTACAACAGTGGGGAACAACAACATTGTCAACATATGAGATTGTCTTCGTGAAAAGTAAAGTCCATAAAGTATTAACAGAAACAAACGGAGGTGAGAAAAAGTATGGCGTGAGCACAAATATTTGTTCACAAGCAACCAACCAAAGCACATGACTTAAGATATAAAATCATGTAAAATTCAACATACTACATTATGAGTCACATGAGCCAACTCTAACATGGAATGGGCTTATTTTATTATGCAAAACGAATTCAGTCCGGAGACTATCCTTTAAAACTTCTAAACATAGGTGGGGCAAGTGATGAATAGATCTTTTGACCTAGTGATTAAACTCTATTCAACTTAAGCCTATTCAACAAATAATATGTAGTCATGCTCCTACATATAGATACTTAAATAAAGCATATCCTATTAAGTCATATTATCACAATCGCACATGTAAATAATCACGTATCCTTCTCAACTCATATAAAAGAAAGCTTATTAGAAGTGACCATGGGAACACATTCTCCATTTTGAGACTGTCAGATTAGATCGGTATTGATGATCAAATAAACAAGAAAGCAAACAATAAGTGGATGTATTTAACCCATACATCAACCAACTTGTACTAATATCTCACAAAATAATGTTGAATTAAAGACGTTTTCAACAACCAATAATCTTACAGATATCCATGCAGTTAACATTAGCAAAATATTTTACTTGCCTCCACCAACAGAAAGAGTTTTTCTGCCCCTGATTGCATAGTAAAGAGAGGCGCATCTTTATTTTCCAGCTATAATGTAATCCTACAAGCTTAGCTTTGGGTTTAGGTGTAACACATTATCCTACTGACTTAGATTTCCTTGCATTCTCCTTCTACTCCCTTAAAAAAATGCAAAAGAACTTCCTTTAGATTATAGCTCCAAAAATATTGCAATTACATGAAAAACGTGAGAACACGTTAAGCTTTTAGAAAAAGCCACAATTTACTAAACGATAATCATGTCAAATTTTAGACCATAACCTTGGCAAAAGTCAATTTTACTGACAACATTCATCATTTCGCTTCTTGGGAATCAATGTAACATAGGAAAAAACATTTTCTCACAAATTGCCATCATCTCAAAAAGGTAAATAACTTAGCAGGCATCCATAGTTTTAGTAAACTGTGAAAAGAAATGTGTGTATAGTACATATAGACGGTCAAGAAATGCCATGGCTAACGACTTCCGTTATTTAGGATTGAGTACTCTACATGATGGTGAGATTGAGGATGATGCGGTTCATCGAATCAAATCAGGATGGTTAATAAGAGAGGAGGTGATTCCAATGTAACCGTAGAGTACCCATAGGACAACTAAAAGACTAACGATGCTTTATTGATCGGACTGTCAGACAATTAAAAACAATACGTGTAGAAAAAGAGTGTAGTAGAGATAAGAATGTCATAATGGTCTTGTGGACATAGACTTAAAAGATAGGTTAAGAATTGTAGGAGATTAGAGGTTGCTTCTACTGATGATAAAACGAGAAAGAATCGACTGACATGGTTTGGTCATGTACAAGTACGACGGAGGCCATTAAACACACCATTAGAACTTAGAACAAGTGATAAGATTATAGTTGACACTTGACAATGACAGGCCAAGAGTATAGTAATTAACTTATGGAGGAGATGATCCATAATAGAACTAAATGGAAGATTAGGATTCATGCACCCCGGCCAAAAACATTGGGATGAATTCATGGTTTTTGTTCTTTTTTTCTTTTTCTTTTTTTTTTCTTTTTTAGGGTAAGCCGTTGGCCAAAGAAAGTTAAAATTATGTCTACGCAAGCTATAAAAAATTTAAAGTTCCAATCATGGAAATGAGGAACTATTAACACAACTAATGCCAAGATTACCTTTTTTTCCTTCTCACAGGAATCTTATGAACCCAGAAGTTACTAAATTACTATTATTTTTGTATAAAAGTTTTTCTTTTTGAAAACTAATAAGATCAAATAACAGTTCTTCAGCCAGTTTTTAAGCTTCTGAATTCTATGGATCGCATCCCCGCAATTTCACACAGAATTTCTGACTAAATTTTGACACCGACAGAGATTAAGAACGCAACGAAACCCTAAAAATACCATCTTTATAAGAGAAAGGGCCCGATGAAGCTGATCCTTGTAGGTTGAGAGATTCGAGGCGAGCTCCTCGATGCTAACATCTTCGCCTCCCTCCATTTTTTCCCCTTTTTCCCCTTCTATTTCTCTTCTTTTTTTTTTCTTTCTTTTTTTTTTTTTCCTTTTTTTGCCCCTCTAAATCTCCCCTCTCTGCGGGCAGGGTTTTTGGAACAGGAACTGAACAAGGACAACGAACGTTGATATAACAAATGGACGGCTGTGATTTCAGTAGCCTGTTCGGAGAAATCACAGGGATTAGTGTTACACGACCCAACTCTACTCGCAAATGTGCTTTCTACACTTTCACTTGCATTTATCCGCCCTTAAAATTATTTTTAACTCGTACATGAAAAATAGATTATTTTATAACTTAAAGATTCTCAATATTAGAATTATATACGATAGATGTTATTAAAATAGTGAAACGTGGTAGTATTCATGAACTTTTGATCTTTTTGTGACTTTCTAACTCATGATGTGGGGGAAAAATATATTGGGAACCTAAATTGTTAAAATTAAGATTGTATTAAGGTTATATTTCATAATATTAAGATTAAGCTAACCTAAAACTTTAAGGATACTTGACAGATGTTAAGGACCTAAATCTTTATAGGAAAAAGAACATATCGAGTATCTAATTATCAGAAAAATATCTTTAAAAAATACAGGTTGCAGTCTTAATTTGCTTCTCGTTTAGAAAATGAACAGGTTCAATTTAAAATTAACCACCTTAAATTTTAGATATAAAGCCAGTTAAATTCCACGAATTATCATCCTTGGACAGTTGCTCTATTTCATTGTATTTAACTAAGAGTATTAAATAGAATAAAGACAAATAATCAGTTCAAGAAATCTATCTATTATTTGAATGCTTGAATTAAGAAACTTCTTGATATAGATCTCTTTTTTCCGCTGTTACATCTGGTCGGCTTTAAAATTAAGTAAATTCAAAAAGAAGAGAGGGGTTATTTTGGCATTTCTCCAACACCTCGCAAGTGGAGTAGATCATAAAGTAAATTGTTAGAAACTTCATCTCCTACAAAGCTTCATTTCAAAGTTAAAAAGTCACCTCTACTGGGGAAAGATGTATAACATTTATGATGTAAACAAATAATAATAATAACCAGATAATTCATACCATCTCTATTTGCTTGAAGACTTACGACTACCATTTGCATTTGACGTAACACAACTACGTAGCATTAACCTGATCTTTTGTGACTCGGATTCTCTGTGGAGGAAGGGGATAGAGTTAGAGGTCTCTCCTGTGACATTGTCACCCCTTTCAAATGGCCTTCTACTTGGTATCCCCATGCTCCTGGTTTGCTGAAGCTCAACACAGATGTTGCTGTTCCTCTGGAAGGATATATTATTGGTTTGGGAGGTGTTATTTGGGATCACCATGGACATGTGATTGGTTGCTACTCTATGGTGATCGGGGGTCCTATGTTTGTGGATCATGCGAAGCTATTGGCTGTCCTGGAAGGCATTCGCTTTGTTCGGCGTATGAACTGGATGATTTCAGTGGTGAAAATTAACTCTCTAAAGGTTGTCTCCTTGATGGACTCTCCTTCTCCTTTTGCTTCCTTGGCTCCTATTACAGATGAAGTTCGCGTTGGTCTTATTATTACTGGCCGTCTAAAGTTTCTTATGTAAGGCGCACTAGTAATGGTGTTGTTCATTCCCTAGCTAAGTCGGTTAACCGTTTGTCATCTTGTTTTTGGTCTGTTTCTATCCCTTTGTTTTTGAGAAAGAGGAAACAGAGTGTTGTTGAGAACTTGGCTGGTTAGGTTACCCTACCTGCCTTTTCAAAAAAAACCTGATCTTTTCATTTCAGCTCCTAATCAATTAAATAAGCTCAAACAATATAATTTACATGTTACTTACCCTGGGTTATTCCCTAGCTAATTACTTCTACTTATTGGCATATAAATTACAGTGACAAAACAATGTGTTTTTCCTATGGTTTTTAGTTATAATAACAATCAGATGTATCAAGGTGCAAATAACCACTAACTTTTATGCCCTATTTTTCACCCGTTCATCTCGACATACATATTTTCATTTTGGGGGGGGGGGGGTGTAACGTAAGATAATTACAACTTCTCAAGGGGCCACTTCCAGTAAACTACAACCTTTCGGAAGACGCCTAATCTCTTCGGTGAAGTAAAACTACTAGTGTTGCGTTATAAGTTGTACACATTTATCGCTATTCAATCCTACTATATGGGAAAAGATAACGGAAAAAATTAACCTTAAAATATAATTAATAGCATCCTATACAGGAACCTGAAAAGGGAGCATGAAATTGTTGGGGGAGAAATTCGGACCCAATCTAGAGTTGGATGGGCCTTAAACAGAAGTTATGAATCAATTTTAACCAAAAAGTTATAGTTATTAGGTATTGGTCCAAACTCCTATTTAAACGCATCACTCTTTCTTATCTTATCCGATGTGGGACTATACTCACATATTAATCACCCCAACAACTCATATTAACCACCCCAACAACTCTCCCTTAATTTGTGACCATGCATTCAGCAGATATATCTATTAAACATCTGTTGCATCCGTGGATTCTCCTGACACCTTCGGGCTTCACATCGAAGATCATCTGTTTTTTATTATTAGTTATTTGGACCATGACCTTAGCTCTTGATATCATTTGTTGGGGGAGAAAATCGGGCCCAATCTAGAGTTGATGGGTCTTAAACAGAAGTTAGGAATCAATTTTAACCTAAAAGTTATAGCTATCACGTATTGACTCAAACTTCTATAAAAGCACATTACACTTTCTTATCTTATCCGATGTTGGACTATACTCGCATATTAATCGCCTCAACGGAAATCACCAAATTCACAAAGTCTAGACGCACAATGTTCCAAGATACCAGATTCAGATGTATAATCCGAGAGCTCAAGCGAAGTGAATATCTGCAAAAAGGCAACATAGAACATTTCTGTCTCTGTATATAATCAGAGGGCTCAAGCAAAGTGAGTATCTTCAAGTTGCAAAATATCGGAGCAAAACTCAACAGAAGGCAGGGACCCTTACGCGATAAATGCGGGCAAAATTGGTTGAGGATGCAGTTCTTCATTACGTTATCACTCTGGGAGGTGTCTAGTACTCGGGGTCGTTCAAAACTGTACATCTCTTCGGTCGCTCACTCTCGACGGAATCGTGCTTTTCAGCAAGAACAGGATTTATCCGTTACGGTATTCAACGACAAATTCACGCAGAAGGAGGTCTATAAACTCAGAAGAGAAAATAGTGTTCTCCCAAATCAACCCATAGTTCACGCTCTTTGTACTTTTTTATCATCGAAACAATATAAGGATCAGAAACTGAAAAGAAATACCAGTCGGATACGTTATCCCCAAATTTTGGGGTCCACTTAGGCCTGTCCATCCGGGCCGGCCCGGAAATCCGGGCCCGGGCCGGGCAAAACCGGAGCCCGGACCCGGGTACCCTGGGCCGGGTCCGGGCCCGGGCTCGGGCCCGACCGGGCCGGGTTCCGGGCCGGGCCGGGTTTTTTATTTTTTTTAATTTTTTTTTTTTAATTTTTAACTTTTATTTAAGTTTTAAATTACAAAAAAAGACAAAAAAATAATAAAAAAATAATTTTATTAATCACTTAAAATGACATAAATTACAAATAAAAAATTATAAAAATAAATTCTTTATTAATAATTAATAAATCATTTACAAATTACAAGTATAAATTTATTTTGGAATTCATCGCATCACAATAGATAAGTACATCCCACCTAGGTTTTTTTAAATTTCTTTACTTTTTTTTGATAAAAAAATGCTAAAAATTAGTTTAATATTATTATATTTTATATAATTATGTATTAGTATATACTTCTAAATTATTATGTAACTATATATTATATATACATATATTATATGTAAATATATTGTATATATTTATAAGTTATAATTTAAGAGAGAGAGAGAATCGCATAAGTAACCCTGTAGCCGTTGCTCGTTGGGCCAATGGGGAAGTAACCGTTGTAATATACTATACTTATATACTAAGAGAGAGAGTATACACACACACATATATAAAAGAGTATACTTATATAATAGGGAGTATACATATATAAGAGAGAGTATACTTATATATACATATATACTAAGAGAGAGAGTATATTAGTATATATATATATACACAGAGAGTATATATATACATACATGCATACATTATACATATATAAGAGAGAGTATTCTTATATATACTTATATAAGAGAAAGTATACTTATATATACTTATACATATATATACTTATATAAGAGAGAGTATACTTATATATACTTATATACTAAGAGAGAGTATATATATACATACACATATGACATATTATACATATATAGAAATATATTATATAAGAGAGAGTATACATATATAAGAGAGAGTATACTTATATATACATATATACTAAGAGAGAGTATATATATACATACATGCATACATTATACATATATAAGAGAGAGTATTCTTATATATACTTATATAAGAGAAAGTATACTTATATATACTTATACATATATATACTTACATAAGAGAGAGTATACTTATATATACTTATATACTAAGAGAGAGTATATATACACATATATGACATATTATACATATATAGAAATATGCTATATATACATATATTATATATATACATATATTATACATATATAAAAATATATTATATATACATATATTATACATATTATATATATTTATATATACATATATAATATAATACATAAAAATAAAAAATAAAAAAACTACTATTCCGGGCCGGGCCGGGCCCGGGCCGGCATGAATTGAACCCCAAATTACATAATACATTACAATGCAATAACTAAATTACGAAAACAATGTGATAATTCAATGATACCCTAAATAGGTTCGCTCGAAAAATACCTAAGATTATCATGCTATGGTTCTGGGTCGGGTTGGGTTTGGTAGGGTGACCTGCATCCGATGTTACAGAGTGTGGCGGACTGAACCAGGCCTCATCATTGAACAACCGACGGGCTAAATACACATATTGGTATTTTAATTCCACCCCATTTACCAAGAAGGTATTTTAATTAGGCAAACCTGCTTTAAGGCATTTTAATTGATTCAACTTACCAACAAGATCCTTTTTCTCGTCGGCTACCAGTTTTCCGATGAGAGCTCGTCATGTGCGTGACACGTGATGACTTAAACTGTTTTTTAGCTGCTGATGTGGCATGGATTTTCTGACGTGGTGGTGTTTAAAGGCAGGAATTAACCCTCTAAAAATCTTAATTCACCCAGATCCGTGCCACATCAGCAGCTAAAAATCAGTTTAAGTCATCATGTATCACGCACGTGATGAGCTCTCGCCGGAAAACTGGTCGCCGACGAGAAAAATAACCTTGTTGGTAAGTTGAATCAATTAAAATGCCTTAAAACAGATTTACCTAATTAAAATACCTTCTTGGTAAATGGGGTGAAATTAAAACACCAATATGGGTATTTAGCCACAACCGACGTATTTTTTTGGGTTGTTTTGCATATATACTCCTCATATATTCCAAATTTACAACACTACCCCCAAAGCTCTTACATTGTTTATTTCTACCCCTTCCACTTCACAATTTTAATTTTTTAAATGAGAAGTTGTTGCAAGACTATTGAAAATTATTGAGAATTTTTCCATTGCATTGTTTAAAAAAACAACATTCTTAAGTGGGAGCAGTAGAAAGACTTAACATGTTAGTTTTGTTAGGTAATTTAGCAAATAAAAAAATTTGGGACGTAATGTTGTAAATTTTGAGGATTTGAGGGTATGTAAGCAACCCCGAACCCCCTCCTCCCCCTGCAACCAACTTTTTTGTTTCTTTTATTTTCCTAGTTACTAAATGTTGCATGTTGTTAATGATAAAAAAAAATGATATATTGATTAATGGCTAAATACCCATATTGGTGTTTTAATTTCACCTCATTTACCAAGAAGGTATTTTAATTAGGTAAACCTGCTTTAAGGCATTTTAATTGATTCAACTTACTAACAAGGCTATTTTTCTCGTCGGCGACCAGTTTTCCGGCGATAGCTCATCACGTGCGTGGCACGTGATGACTTAAACTGATTTTTAGCTGCTGATGTGGCACGGGTCTGTCCTATTTTGGGTGAATTAAGATTTTTAGAGGGTTAATTCCTGCCTTTAAACACCATCACGTCAGAAAATCCGTGCCACATCAGCAGCCAAAAATCAATTTAAGTCATCACGTGTCATGCACGTGACGAGCTCTCATCGGAAAACTGGTAGCCGACGAGAAAATGGGTCTTGTTGGTAAGTTGAATCAATTAAAATGCCTTAAAACAGGTTTGCCTAATTAAAATACATTTTTGGTAAATGGGGGCGGAATTAAAATACCAATATGGGTATTTAGCCATTGATTAATTATCATACAATGGTACAATTTCCTTAAAAATTACTATATATTTGTATAATTTGGCTAACATAAGAACAAATTGTAAGTTAAATATTAACGAAAGGGTGAGTTTGTTTTCATATATTAATGTGTACAATACTACGAGAAATCTTTTTTTTTTTAAATGACAAGAAAAACCTCGGTCAATGGCCTTGGTTGAACTTCCAACGACCATAACTCGAATTCCCCCAACGAGCCCAGCCTCAACTTCAACTGTGAGGGGGCTTCACCTTAATACCAGGGGCCCATCCCCGAGTGACCGGGCACAGTGCGGATCTCGAGTCTAGGAATATACAACGACTCGAGTTAACTGACCAGGCAAAACCCCGAAAACCTCCAATCATGCGAATGCGTGCACGGGGTTTTAAACTCAGGACCAGCAGGACACGAAGTCCTATGGAGATCTCCTCCACTGAGTCCCAGTCGTGGTTGGTACTACGAGAAAAATTTACAGAAGAGTATTATTAATTTTCAAAAGAAAATGCGGACTCTGTTGTTTTAAATATTAAAAAAAATAGGTTGAGTAAATGCCTGATCTTCCCGCGCAATACATCTCCAAGAATACAGCAACTAACCACTGGGGAAAATGCACGCACATTCTGTGCGCACACACACATCAAAGCACCAGATTGACAAGTAAAAGAGTTAGATCTAAAGCATTTCGGTTATCGTTTTGCAGTAATCAGTAGTGGTCTTAGTACACTAAGATCACATCGTCAAAAATCATCCACAACTTCTTAAGCTTTGGACTCTAGAGAGGAAGGAAAGCACGATGACGAGTAAAAGTACATTTAAGATCAAACTACATCTCGATTAAATGCTCTATATGACAGATGGATTACTGCGAGCAATCTAGTCGTCCTCGTTATCGATATTTGCGCCCTTGAGTTGCAAGTATTTCTCCCTCCTTTGGAAGTCGGTCAGTCCTTTCCCGCTGTTGGTTACTCCAACTTTACCCTTTGGATCGTCTGGAGACTTGAAGATGCTGTCTCGTTTGCGCCCTGAGAAGAAACCAATCTGCATAATCCACCGAGAAAGGGAGAAAGCTTATCATCTTTCTTAGATCCCATGTAAAAAACAAGGTAAATAAATAAATAAATAACTTTGAATTACAACCGATGTCAATCTCAGAGATGAATAGATTCCTCATATTAAAACCCTAATATTGATCATCATTCTTGTTATGTTGCAAGCCCCTTAAAAGGATCCCATCATTATTAAGAAATTAGCGCTTACATGCGAATCGCCTAGAAAAGATCATTTAATCTTATACACAAAAAGCTTCAGGTTTGTTTACCCCTCCTAGTACATAACAAAGTCAATGGGGGGGATTTTTTCCATGCATGCCGTTCAATTATATGATGTAAACCACATTTGCAAAGTTGAAACTCTTTGCTGTTACTATACAAGCTAGAAATATAGTACCTTTGGAAAGGTACACTTTGGTGCACATCCCCTACACAGCTCTTCGCTAAAAAGTCAGTAGGGAAAAAATAATTCCATACCAATAACCATGTAAACCTCATTTGTAAACTCAGACACCCTTTGTTATTAAGTACACAAGCAAGAAATATAGTTCCTTGTGCACAACCAATCTAAGCTAGCATTTTAAAAAGTGATCATACATCAAGTTAAAATTTTGTTCAATGGCCAAAGTAGACTCCTCTTGATGAAAATATAAACTTACATGTTGTACGTCCAGGAATTCTATACTATAATATAGGCATATGGACTACATGTGATTTGTATACTATATTTGATTATTTAACTAATCAGTAGCATCTCCCGAGACCAATATGGATACTATATTAAAATAGATCCCCTATGAGGAAGGGAATACAGACCAACCAAATAAGCCATCGCCTGACTTAGGACCAAATGTCAAACTTTTGGCTGTACTCAGACCACTGTCTTCCTATCGTGATACATTATCATTATAGGAAAAGCAACCAACTGCTTGCCAAGACGGAACATCCACATGAGCAAACAAGTAAAGTAAGATATGTTGAAAATTACCTTCTTTGTTTTTCCCTTTGTCGTCTGAAACTGTTGCCAAGCGTTTTGCCGTTTGTTTTGCACAACTTCAAGTTGCTCAAAACGAGCTTTTGACTTAAATGCATGTATCTTCTTACGTTTAGCAGCTTTCTGCAATGGTTAGTAAAAGGCATCAAATCAGAGCAAACCTTTGGATCAAAATAACATAAATCAGCTTATCTCAAGACGTAGACGTCTTCATAGAGCCAAAAGAGCACATGGTTACTCTTAAGTATGTTCTTCTAAAAATAATAAGGAAAAGAGGGAATCAAATTATGAGGTGTATTGAATTCTTGATGACCTCAGTTGTCGTTTCAGAACAGGTTTGTCATGGTATTGTTATGGCAGATGAGTTAGACTTGGGTGCTTCAAGGAGAATTTAGACAATATCTCCATACCTATATATAGAAGGCTTAAGCAGTAAAAATAAAATGATCGCAAAATTCTTACTTTGAGACTGAATGATTGTAACTGGTGTAGTACATGTTATAATGAGACTAGTGGCTTCAAAGCCAAAACAGCGAGATATCTTCATGTATGTTTGAAGTCATTGAGGATGCGTTGATAATCAATACTGTGGATCTATAACTAGACTCTCCTATCACCATATAACGCACCTTAACGCACCAAGTTTCCATAGCACCCAAAGATAACTCATGGTACTTGATTTATCCAAGTCATTTATAAAATTCTTATTAAAATTTGTAAATTCATTTAACAAAAGTGGATGAGAGGGGTTGATGACTAACATCCTATTTCATTTGACCAACCTAATCGCACAGTTTTAAAAAAATTAATACTAATGATTTTATCAGAAGATGGCTGCCTTTATGCCCATGGTTGTAACTGGAGAAGTCATGTCTTTAGAAGAGAATAGATTGTTCCTAATGGGATTGGATGGGTTGCTGCTGCATGTTTGTAGTGGTGTCAAAAGGGGCTTGCAGTTGGGATCAGCATTCATCAATCATCATAATACAAGTACGTTTGATTATGAGATAGCCAATCAATGTACAACACAATCAATGTATAACTAAGTTATATATTAATAAACTAAGATAATAAGTGTGAATAGATACTTAACTCTTTATCATTTCTTTGCCCTTTATATAATTTTATGACAACATTTATTCAGAGATCATTACGTTTATTGCAAATTCACAATATACTTAACAAATTTTTCTATTTTTGTAAACGAAAGCTACTTGAACCTTGAACTTCCCAAAACCTAACCCCAACATTTTACCATCTAACTATCTAAGCAAGGTCTCTCGGGCACATTAGAAGATCAGAAAAGTGACAAATTTGCATGTGCATTTTGTTGACATATTGAGACCACCATTCCTTCTCAAACAGACGAGAGCATGTTTGGAAAGAGTATTTTATTTTAAACAAAACCAAAAGTAAACTACTGTACTGCAACATGTATAGCATGTTGTGCATGTTTGAAAAGGTACTAACTTTCCTACGATAATGTTGAAAGTTGTAGAAGTTACTATAACCCATGATTACCCCTGATTTCAGTCAACTTACTTCCCTCCCCAATCCCAAAAGAAACATCCCAGCAAAAGTAAACCATTTAGCAACCCCTCGAGAAAAAACAGCAAAACAAGGTTTTTTCCTTTCTTTTTTTTTTTTTGGTTTTTTGTTTTTTGTTTTTTTTGTTTTTGTTTTTGTTTTTGTTTTTTTTTTTTTTGGTGTTTAGGAGTTGACGGCATAAGGAAACTTTACTTTCCATTGACCCCATAGTAGGCATTTTCTAGGAGTGATTGGCCAACGACTATGGCATGCTCAATCAGCTCAGAACCTCAAGGATTGGCAATTAAGTAAAAACTTAGAAAACATAAGTAGATGCATATTATCATCTTATGGGGTGAATCCTGTTCAGATGGTTTTTCCATCACAAATATGGTTTGATGAAGCAACACATAACAATAAGCATCTTCAGAAGAAGGGCGATAGCCTCAATTTACTCAAGGTCAGAGATGCAGTAATTGATTTACAAAAAGAAAACTCACCACATCTTCAGGATCATTAGGATCTATGCGAAGTTTTGCAGGCAAGCTTCGTGACTGGAAGTCAGAAACTGCTGCTTGTGCAATCTTTCGTTTAATGGCTTGCCTGGTAGCTTCAGCTTCCTTTTCAGCTTCTAGCAAGGGATTAATTGTGCCATCTTGAATTTGCCTCACATTTCCAGGATCCACCTGATATGAGTCAACACTGGACCTTAATTTTTCTCATTCAAATAAATAGTTGGGGAGATGATGTTACTTAATGGAAAAGAACAGGAAAGAAAGAAGCTAAACAAACATAAATTTACACATTGGATGTTAGAGATCACATCAATGCAGAAGGAATATAAATGGAAAAGTTTACAATGCAATATATAACTGAAATCCCAGAATCCACATTTTGATAATCAATAAAGATAAACTGACAAATTTTCTCGAACGATATATCCGTGTCAAGAGGGAACTGTACTAATAACCATCCTCCAAACTCTTTGTCCAAGCAGGGAAAAGTGTCTGTCTAAATAACTGCAGGGGCAGTAGTAAATAAAAGGATCATGATTAACAAAAGAAGACCATGAGTATTGGTAAAGAACGAGTTTGCATGTGCTACTTGCAACATAGCTGAGAAAGACATGTCGATAGGTAATGCTTGTAGATTAGCTCATTCCCGTTATCATTTTAAACCCTATTGTTTTGCTAATGTAATCAACAAGTCTTGACTAACTGATGTTTCAGCCTCTTCATCCACTCAAGATATTAGCAGAAGAAAAAGGGCTTAAACGATCATATTAAATGGATAGAGGAATAGCTCCAAGGTATGTCCACTAGGTAGCTGGTCCACCAAAGGGACAAGAGCCCTTGATTGACACCAATCTAAAGGCCACTATTTTGTATTGATTTGAAGGTGGGCTACCCTTGGTTTACCACCTATCTAAAGGACAGAAAACACTGGATAGTGTTTTGAAAGGTCTTGTTAAAAAAAAGTCTCAAAGTATATTGATAAAATGTAGTGCATTTTAAATTGAGGTGAAACACCAGATATGACAGCATCTTTTACTCTTTGATTTGCAAACTCCAAAGTGCTTGTTATATGCAACAAAAATGGAAGCTTCACATTCTTCATTTAGTTTATTAAATATAAAAATTTACAAGAAATGGTCATTTATGTCAAAACAATCATATTATAAGGTTTACCCTTGTCCTTAGCTCAATTTTCTTCTTCTAGTCATTCATCTATATGTTTCAGTAATGGAAAATTATTCAAGTTAACAACTGCATGGTTCTCAAACCTGGGTGTGAAGATGAGCTGAGTTTGTGCCCTATCAATGGACAACAAACACAACGCATAGTTGCCCAATTCCTATAACCAGGATATTTAACCAATACCTTTAGATGCCCAATTCCTATAACCAGGATATTTAACCAATACTACAGCCTTCAGAATCATGTGTGCTAGTTTCCACAACTTTACATTCCAGCTACCATCACTTCCCTATAAATGCTTTTGTAACAACATGATGACAATAGTGCCTGAACGAAGCTCGTAAGCGCTATTTAAGCGTGCCGGGCATACATAAACCTTTCATTTAAATGTGACAGGTTGGCTTATCATGTCAATTTTGACAACCCCACGTAAGAACAGCAGACTCAAATATGAAATATAAAAACATCAAATGCAAAACTTCCAAGGTATACATGGTATTCACATACCCTTTTCAGACAAACAACTTAACCAAATATGATATATGATTATGATATATGATGGTCAAAATGCAAAAGATGGCTTAAAATGAAAAAGATTACCTCCTCTTTGTTTCCCCATTCGTTGTAGCGGACATAGTATCCATTAGGAGTAATAGCCTCAATGGTCGCATCATACCTAAGTACTCAACTAATCAAACACAGAAAAAGACAAAAGCATAAAATAACTGAAATTTGGATGCAAACAACTTAATTAAATAAAATGCTCTTACTTACCACTCCCCATCTTCGCTCCAAACAGCTTGAACTTTTGTGCCAACAGGAAACCCTTCATGATTACTTGATCCCTAAAGCAAAAGACATCATATAATAAGAACGAAAATGGGCAACAATGCAAACAAAAAGGATAAAAACAAGCAGATTACTTCGTAAAAACGCTAATTTTAATCAGTAGATACAACGAGGGAGAGCCAAAATCAAGTTTCTCCCAATTATAAAAAAGTCAACCCGTTCGAACATCAAAGTACTTCAACTCGTTCATGCACAAGTCAAAATGACTTTATTAAGCTTGAAAATATTTGGCTATTAGAATTATCTTTTGATACCTGAAATATCTATAGATACATGATCTACTGAATACTAAGGTGATGTAGCTCCAGATCCGATAGCTACATTCAATATTAGGATATGAATTTTTCAGGCATTCACAAGGGCAACACGAAAACAAAGGAACACAAAACCAAACAAAATGATGTTAAATGATTTATTCATTTATGGGTATATTCAAAGGAGGAGGTATGTCGTAATTTGGTTCATCACCCATATCGTAAGTGTTAAACAACTATACTCTTACAACTCACGAACAATAGTTACACATGCAAGAACAGTTCTTGAAACTATACACAGATTTTATAGTAAGCTCACTTTTTTACTCATCTACTACTTCTAACTTAAAAGCAAAACCTTGTAACACTGTTCATGATACAGTAAATGGTATTCATGCTACAGTATGGTTCAGAACATTAAATGTACAGTGCATGCTGCAGTAATTTTTCAGACTTACTCCACTATTCACGCTGCTTTGAAAATTTTAACTTAAACACTATTCATACTACGGTAAATGTTTGCCTTTTGAACAAATTCTTTGTGCTACAGTAACATTTTTGGCCATTTATCCATTGTTCAAGCTGAAGTAAAATTTTTTGTTCGGCTTTTTTTAAAAAAAAATTTGTTCACATCTACTTTTTTTGGGGGCTCTTGCAGATGATGATTTTAACATGTATCAGACACTTCATAAATATAAACCTTTCCAGTTATATTAAAGAAAATTGATGAAACTTACTAATTGGTATATTATTTTGGTAACTGGTTTGGAGATTTACTCTGTAAATAGTAGTAAAAAAATGTCGCTGAAGTTTTTAGGAACAGTTATATTAAAAATCATATTATCAATATGGTGAAAGATGTACCTTGGTTAATAATACCCGCAGCAACGCACGGGTTTAATACTAGTAAAAGAAAAGGCGGTTAGAGAAAGAAAACAATGTTGTTTCATAAGCCCATAAAACATAACGTAAAGTAGACGGCAATTTATTGGCATCCGCTGCTGTAGACTCTTTACTAAATTGTGAGTTAGAGGGTCAACTTTGTATGCAAAGACAGGAGTCAACTTGTCTTATGCTTCTTCCAAAATAAAATCCAGCTATTCCTTCTTATAAGATCATTACACAGTTAAAGAGCTTCCACCTGATGCTAATGTTGCTTTTGGTATTGTAAAATAACTATTTCAAAATAGCATACCTGCAAGCATCGAGATAAACAAGCTAATACAAGAAGAAGAAAATGAAAAATGAAAAACTCAGCGTTCAGGATAGGAAATCCTTTCTTTTTTCAAAAGAAACTTTGCGGACAATCTTCTGTCGGCAAGATATACCTTTGTATTGCGCCTCAATTAATTTTTCAGGCTCAAGTAGACATGTACTTAACAGAAAATCAAAAAAAAAGGTGTGCTAATTAGATAAAGCATTTAAAATATAGAAAAGCTTACTGTATTAAACTGTGAAGTTCCAGTTAACGGCTCCTGTCCTGGAGATATATTGGCATCTTGATGAGATATCAGCCCAGATTGTTCATTTTGCTTTGCAGTGGTTAAGAGTTCCTCCGTAAGACCAATTACCTACAACATCAAACAATGCATGAATATCAGCTTCAAAGGTACAAGACAATCCAATAATTAGGATATAGATTTAAATTTCGACTTTTGAACTTCGAATGTCAGCATGAACATCTGTTTCCAAGCAGACAGTCTATCATGATCCACAAGCCTACAAAGGAACCAAGAATAAAGGATGATGGGCATCTTTCTAAAGCCAGGATTTATCACCTACTGCTCTCTTGTTCAGTCATAATTCCTCATAAAGCTCCAATAGCTGCAAATAAGACTTCTGTTTTCCTTTACTCCCAATCACCTTCGAAATCTCCATCAAATAGTGACTTCCATCAGGTCACCAAATCATATATTGTCCCATGCATATCTGGTACCTCCTAAGAAACAAAACAAGGACAAAGGAGAAAGGCACTACCATCTTTCTGAGATTTACATGGAAATATGGCAAAGAAAATAATTATCACAATCTTTAATCTTATCTTTATCTAACCGATAGAGGTTAGAATAATTTTCAACAGTTTGAAAATTTTTATACAGAATATAAAATATATTTGATACACGATAGACATGAGACATGAGACAAAAGGAACTTCAAGGAAAACCTCACCTCTTCAAGCTCCTTTTCCATGTCTGCATACTCTGAGTTTCCCGGCTCATCAACCAAAAGTTTTCTAACCTATATACCAAACAAAGAAGAAGAAGCAACCATAAGTGTAAACATTCCTATATATTTTTTAAGGGAACAACAAGGTTACTGGTAGCAAATAGTGTCGCCTAGCGGTGAGGCACCGCTAATGCTATTTGGAGCTATAGCCACAAAACAACCGCAAAAAACACAAAGTTAAAGAGCAATCCATTTAAATATGTATAAATATTCAAAAAAAAAAGAAATCTAAAATTCTACAAATACATATTTGATAATTTATAGAGATCCTAAGCATGAAATAGAGGTTTAACAATCACATAATATTAAAAAAGATTACTATACAGAATGATAGAGCATATATGTTTATCAAAAAGACCATTATTTGTCTCATCCTTTCAACTTTCAATTCTCTAATAGAAAAATTCTAAACCATAGAAAAACATGATCAATAGCAACATAATTGTATTAACTATTTGAAACTTGACATAAAAATGAAGTCTTCAAGCATAGATAAATAAGCACTATTGACCACTATTTCGCGCTTTCGAGCGCTTTGGCTATTGAAAAGCGCTCATGAACACTATTCTTCACCACAATCAATGAAATAGTAGTGCTAGGCTCCGTTACCACTATTTGCGCCACAATAGCGCCGTTATTGGCCGCTATTTACAACAGTGGGGAACAACAATATATGAGATTGTCTTCGTAAAAAGTAAAGTCCATAAAGTATTACCAGAAACAAACGGAGGTGAGAAAAGTATGGCGTGAGCACAAATATTTGTTCACAAGCAACCAACCGGAGCACATAACTTAAGATATAAAATCATGTAAAATTCAACATACTACATTATGAGTAACATAAGCCCACTCTAACATGGAATGCGCTTATTTTATTATGCAATATGAATTCAGTCCGGAGACTACCTTTTAAAACTACTAAACATAGGTGGGGCAAGTGATGAATATATCTTATGACCTGGTGACTATACTCTATTCAACTTAAGCCTATTCAACAAATAATATGTAGTCGTGATCCTTCATACAGATACTTAAATAAAGCATATCCTATTAAGTCATATTATCACATTCGCACATGTAAATAATCACATATCCTTCTCAACTCGTATAAAACAAAGCTTATTAGAAGTAACCATGGAAACACATTCTCCATTTTGAGACTCTCAGATTAGATCGGTATTGATGATCAAATAAACAAGAAAGCAAACAATAAGGGGATGCATGGGTAACCCATACATCAGACAACTTGTACTAATATCTACAAAATAATGTTGAATTAAAGACATTTTCAACAACCACTAATCTCACAGATATCCATGCAGTTAACATTAGCAAAATTTTATACTTGCCTCCAACAACAGAAAGAGTTCTTCTGCCACTGATTGCATAGTAAAGAGAGGCACATCTTTATTTTCCAGCTATAAATATGTAATCCTACAAGCTTAGCTTTGGGTTTAGGTGTAACACATTATCCTACTAACTTAGATTTCCTTGTATTCTCCTTCTACTCCCTTAAAAAATGCAAAAGAACTTTACATTATAGCTCCAAAAATATTGCAATTAAATGAAAAGCATGAGAACGCGTTAAGCTTTTAGAAAAGCCACAATTTACTAAATGATAATCATATCAAATTTTAGACCATAACCTTCGCCAAAGTCCAGTTTACTGACAACATTCATCATTTCGCTTTTTGGAAATCAATGTAACATAGGAAAAAACATTTTCTCACAAATTGCCATCATCTCAAAAAGGTAAATAACTTGCCAAGTGTCTATAGTTTTAGTAAATTGTGAAAAGAAATGTGTGTATAGTACATATAGATGGTCAAGAAATGCCTATGGCCCTATGGGTAATGACTTCCGTTATTCAGGATCGAGTACTCTACATGATGGTGAGATTGAGGAGGACGCAGTTCAACGAATCAAATCAGGATGGTTAATATCAGAGGAGGTGATTCCAATGTGACCGTAGAGTACCCATAGGGCAACTAAAAGACTAACGATGCTTTATTGATATGACTGTCAGACAATTAAAAACAGTACGTGCAGAAAAAGAGCGTAGTAGAGATAAGAATGTCATAATGGTCTTGTGGATATAGACTTAAAAGATATGTTAAGCATTGTAGGAGATTAGAGGTTGCTCCTACTGATGATAAAACGAGAAAGAATTAACTGATATGGTTTGGTCATGTACAAGTACAACAGAGGCCATTAAATGCACCACTAGAACTTAAAATAAGTGATAAGATTATAGTTGATAATGACAGGCCAATGGTACAGTAATTAACTTATGGAGGTGATGATCCATAATAGAACTAAGGGGGTGTTTGGCAATCTGAAAGTGAATTTAAAATATGTAAGTTACTTTTTTTTGCAAATGACTTTTACATCCATGTCAGCACGCAAGTGAAATGCAGTGTTTGTTTGAAAAATTAAATTATTATCGAAAGTGCAATGTGAAGATGATGTGGCGAAATAAGATTAATTAGAAAATATAATTAAAATTATTTAATTAAATTAGTTACATTTTTGTCACTTTCATGTGACTTCACCATTTTTTTAGGGGAAGTCAAAATTACATTAAATCTTATGTGACAACTTTCTTACATCTCACTTTCATAACCGCTTACATGAAAACAAATACCTTAATTGTTAAATGAAAGTAACTTCCTCACTTTCATCTTTCACTTGCATGCAAACAAACACCCCCTAAATGGAAGAATAGAATTCATGTATCCCGGCCCTAAAAACTAGGATGGAGGCTTGGGTTTTTTTTCCGGTAAGCCAAGGGCCAAAGAAAGTTAAAAGTATGTCTCTGCAAGCTATAAAAAATTTAAGGACAAATTTTCAAATTCGACCCATTTAGAAACTTAATTGTCAAAAACGGCCCATTTCTAATATAATTGCCAAATTCGACCCAGTTTCAGCCAGTTTCAGCCAACTGGCTGAAACTGGGTCGAATTTGGCGAAAAAAATTACGAAACTTCACGGGACTTCAGTCCCGTGAAGTTTAGGTGCGTTGTAACTAGGGTAATTAAGAGGACAAAAACATCACGGGACTTCAAGTCATGTGAAGTTTCAGTTGGAATTTCTGATGATGTTTTTTGCGCCCAGCAGTTTGCCAACCTCCACCAACCTAAATGAAAACCCATCCAAGTGGATCTAAAGGCCTCAGCCAAAGTGGATGAAGAGAGACCTCAGCCCAAGTGGATCTAGAGGCCTGGTCAATCACAGGGGAATCCTGAGCTCTGTCACCATCACGGCAATCTCCATCTCTGCCTAAAGCTACATTGATCAAGCCATGCACTAGATCCTCAATGAATCTCTCTTATCTTTGGTTGGTGTTGTTTTATTCAACGGAGTGAGGAAAAAGATGAGAACTTTGTGGGATTGAGGTTGCCTTGTTTTTAATCATGAATTTAATAATGGGGACAAATTTTCAAATCCCAGGCTGAAACTTCACGGGACTTGAAGTCCCGTGAAGTTTGGCCAAGTAAAAAATTGTTCACAGGATTTTAAATCCCGTGAACTTATATACACCCTAATCAATTTGATTATCGAGGGCTTAAACTTCACGGGACTAGAAGTCCCGTAAAATTTTTTGCCAAAATAGACCCAGTTTCAACCAACTAACTGGGTCAAATTTGGCAATTAAATTGAAAATGTGCCGTTTTTAGCAATTAAGTTTCTAAATGGGTTGAATTTGAAAATTTGTCCAAATTTTAATCATGGAAATGAGAAACTATTAGCACAATCAAACAACGATTTCTTTTTTTTTTTCTTTTTTCCCCCTTCTCACATGAATCTCATGGACCCAGATGTTACAAAATTAACGTTCTTTTTCAAATAAAGTGTTTCTTTTTTAAAAGAAAACTAACTAATAAGATCAAATGACAGTTCTTTAGCCAATTTTAAGCTTCTGAATTCTATAAATCGCTTTCCCACATTTTCATACAGAATTCTGACTAATTTTTGACACCGACAGAGATTTAGAACGCAAGGAAACCCTAAAAATACCATCTTTATAAGAGAAAGAAAGGACCTGATGAAGCTGATCTTTGTAGGTTGAGAGATTCGAGGCGAGCTCCTCCATGCTAACATCTTCGCCTCCCTCCATTTTTCTGCTTTTTCCCCTTTTTTCCTTTTATTTCTTTTTTATTTATCTCTCTCCCCTCTTTGTGGTCAGGGTTTTTGAACTGGGACTGAAGAAGGAAAATGAACGCTGATATAAAAAATGGACGGCTGTGATTTCAGTTGCCGTGCCTGAGATATCACATAGGCTAGGGCCCAATAATACAGGCCCAACTCAACTTGCACACTCTTTTTTTCTTTCACTGGCATTTATAACCCTTTAATCATTTTAGTAGAACTTAACATCCCTCAATTATCGATTTTTATACTATTCATACTATCTATACTATACTATTATATAAAAAACCAAGTAGCTATAGTCTAAAATTTAGATGAGTGGTGGATATGTTCTCATTTGCATTGTAATTCAAAAGGTAAAAATATAATTTTATAAAAAAGATTTTTCTCTTTCTTTTTCCTTCTCTTACTTTTCTCTCTTTAAGAAGATTCTAGATTTTTCAGTGATTTAAAAACAACATTAGAGTCTACTTATCCATTATACTTTAGTTTAAAAATAATACAAAGAAAAAGTGATCATTTTTTGTAAAGGTAGATATACCTAAATAAAAATGTCAAACTTTTTTTTATATATCTACTAGGTTTTATACACATGCAATGCACATGGATAAATATCATGATTATGTATTTTTAGCTTATTTTATAACTAAAATTTCTTCATCAGTTTCACTTTAATAGTTTATGCTCACTTTTGTCTCTAAACTTTAATATTGCGATTAGTTATTTTTTTAATGTTTCACTTTAATAGTTTATGCTCACTTTTGTCTCTAAACTTTAATATTGCGATTAGTTATTTTTTTAATGTTTGTTTAAATGGGCTACACCCAATTTAAATCTCTAAACTTTAATATTGCGATTAGTTATTTTTTTAATGTTTGTTTAAATGGGCTACACCCAATTTAAATTTTCATGTTAATATTAAAATTGATCGAAAATAAATATAATTTGAAGCTAATTTAATTTTTTATATTATTTTGACTGACATGAAACCAATCTTTACTTGAGAAAGTACAATGTTGCAAAAGTAAAAAATATTAAAACAGTTTTATACAAAGAAGGTGAATATTTAAAACCAATAAGGCAAAATAATTGCTTAAAAGTATGCTAAAATATACAAAAGAGAATATAAATTTTATTTCTAATCATTGATAGCCTCCATAAAAAATTATAAATTAAAGATTAATGCTAACTCTAGTATACTTTCATATGGTAAAAGTATCTGCACAAACATAAAAAAGTATTGAAAAAAGCTCCATTCTAAAGATTTCTAAATTCACACAAAATAATTAAACTATTCTATAAAATATTCACAAAATATTATCTTTTACTCCTTCTATTTTTTACTGAACTAATATCAATTCTTCCTCACCTTTATCTTTTTCCTGGGCAATTCTATAGTAGTATCTTCATCATCTACTCGATTGTAACATCGGGCTAGAGTTGTACTTTTTTGTTGTTATCGTTCCTGGCTCGTTAATCTTTTATATTGTTGTTTAACTTCACAAAGAAGTTAAATATATTTTCGATATTCAACACAAACTTCTTGAAATACAGACTTTGATTTTTTTTTTTCAATGAGAATAAATATTAATTTCATATATATGAAATTCTTTGTGTTCCTAATTAATTACTTAAATAAGATTAAGAGCTACCTTTTTTTCTACAATAAATTCTATTGATGTGCATCCAACAAGAGTTTCGGTTACGTCAATAATATTATATTTGCTCTATCCATGTTATTTTTCACAAAGATCTAAACTAAATACCTACATTTTTTATTGCTAATTTACCTTAGATTATAATATTAATATTTAATTTCTTTAGTATTTTAAGAACAAAGTATGAAATTTATGAATTCTTACTAATTTTTCTTACATCTTCCGTAGAGAATTTTTCTTTGATTGGGATAAAGCTATTAAATTACTCTTCAATGTAACTCGGTTGGTGCTTCTTTAATAGACATGCCTTATGTTAATGCCAATTCAAATGATTCATGGACGTTTTCTGAATTTTAGATTTATTTTCGTCATTTTTCCATTTGCAATGGAAATAGTTTGATTCTTTTGAATGATATCTTTGAACATTCTGATAGTTTCTCCATACGTAATTCATTGTATTCTTTGAATGCTAAGCTATTATATTATAGTCTTTTATCATTTTTATGGATTTAAACATCTATCAATTAATATTACTAATGTGTTTTGTTGCTCCAACTTATTAGTAAAAATGTATGCAGTTGCTTTAACTTATATGGTGATGATAGTTTTCAAGCTATAATATATTTTAAATTTTTATTTCTTAACCGGATATTTTTAGTCAATTCTTATTGCTTTTGTTTACGAGTATCAACTTAGACTGTCTTTAGATGCTGAAAATGGATAGTAAACTCCAAATTAAAAATTTTATATATATATATATATATATATATATATATATATATATATATATATATATAAATCAATTCTTATTGCTTTTGTTTACGAGTATCAACTTAGACGGTCTTTAGATGCTGAAAATGGATAGTAAACCCTAAATTGAAAATTAAATATATATATATCTTAATGAAAGAATATCTAACAATTACACTTTTCTTTACCAAGTTTTAAAATTTTAGCCTTTTTTTTGTGGTTTGGAACGTTTAGAGTGTGATTTGTAATTTTAAAAATTATGGGAGTATTTTAAAAAAAATACTTTTAACTTTGGTAGTTATAACTTCTATGTTTCATGTGTCGATGGTAATTTTTAAATGTCATGATATTTCTTACAACTCTAAAATTTTGAGGCTGTTTTTTGCAATTGCTAAAACTATAGATTAATTTTTAAAAAGTTCAAATTTTAGCAGTCTACCAATAGTTTTCTGATTTGATGTATACTAGTTATATATTTTAAAATTTTAGAGTTTCTTTTATAATTTTTAAATTTTGAAAGAGATTTTTTTACAACTTTTGTAAATTTGAGGTTAATTTCGGTAAATTTTAAATTTTTAGGTGCATGAGGGCAATCTCTTGAATTCATTTTTTATTATTTGCAAATTTTAAAAATTTATAATTTTAGGATTATTTTTTATAATTTAAACTTTTGAGGGAGTTTCTATAATTTTTAGAACATTGAGGGTGTTAATTAAAAATTTTAAATTCTTTGGAGACTGCTGTTAATTTTTTAATTTCATGTTTATTATTTTAAGCTTTGAAATATCAAAAAATTTTAGGTGCATTATGATAATCCCTTGAATTCATCTATGTTGTTTGTAAGTCTTGAAATTTTAGAATTTTAGGTGTTTGTTTGTAATTTGTACTTTTGATGGTGTTTCTATAATTTTTGAGATAATGAGATGTTATTCGCAAATTTTAAATTCTTCGCTGTTAATTTCTTGATTTTATGTTTGTTGTTTTAACTTTTTAGACGTCAGTATAGTTTTTATAATTGTAAACTTTTTAGGGTATTTTGTATAATTTTAAAAAAAATAGATTTTTTTGCTATACTTTATGTATGTACATTAGCTACGTATAGTTTCTTTATCTTTACAAACTTATACCATAAAACAATATTTTAAATATTTTATTAATATAATTTTTGAAACTGTTAAGCTATAGATAGTTCACGTAGGATTAAGATATAATATAATTATGATTACGTATAATTTCTTTATTTTTACAAAATAATACCATAAAAATATGTTTTACATATTTTATTAACATAATCTTTTAAATTGTTAAGGTATAGATAGTTCACGTAGGATTATGATAAGATATAATTATGATTAGGATAGATTAATATATAAATAAAATATTTAAAATAGTGAAAGGTAATATTGGCCATAGAAAGATTTTCCTGAACTCGTTCTTTTAAAGGGAGTATGATAAACTATCATTAGGGAAAATTGTGAGCAGACTCCGAATTGAAGAAGCCCATGTGAGCAGCCCTTTCAACCTTTCTCTCTTATGTAAAAGCCCTAAAGGCCCAAGAAAAAGTGTGATACAGCCCTTCCAACTCAGCAATATACATTGTGTATACTGTATTTTTTCCCAACTTGCTTAATTAACCCTCCTATCATAAATCTGACAGATCTCTCTCTCTCTCTCTCTCTCTCTCTCTCTCTCTCTCTCTCTCTCTCTCTCTCACGAATATCAGAATCAACCGAGATTTTTCCTCTATCGTCCTCCTCCCAACTAAACTCTCTTCGTAAAAATCCTCCTCCCCTACATCATTGTCAATGTCGTGGATAACTTTATTCCTCTTCCCTCCTCTGCTCCCTTCTCTCTCCTCTCTCTTAACCCTAACCTTCACGATTGTTCCTCCCTCCTCTCCTCCTCTATTCTTCCTCTCTCCTAACCTAACCTAACTTTCCTCCTCTCTCCCTCTTCCCCCTCTCCTCCTCCAATCCCGTTGTCTCCCTCTCCCACCTCACCCTCCGCCATTACTGACCTCAAGCACACCCTTCGACCCCGCCATCTCCCTCTCTCACCTTCCCCTCCGTCACCACTGACTTCGAGCGCATATTCAACTAGTTCAACCCTAATGACGACGACAAGATCTCCTCCGAGTTCGTCGCCATCTTCTCCTCCTTGGATCACTCCGTCTCCTTCCCTAAACTCTCCCGCATGATGGAGACCATCACCTTATTAAAGCCATCTACGACCTCTTATTCTCTCCCCTCCATTATTTCTCTTAAACAAATCTCATTATTGGATTATTTATATTTTTACTTCTCAGTGGTGGATTGGATCTTGCTAGTTTATTCTTAATTGAAATGGATGAGTGAGATTACTTATAAAGTGTTTGATGAAATGCCAAAGATTGACATTGTTTCTTAGACTGTGATAGTAATAGATCATGTATAAAGAAAAGATAAAGAAAACATTACGGAGACCTCGCTATTTTTTTCTAGGGTTTCTTTGTCCACTTCCTTTCCTAAAAATTGTAACTTTATAGCATACAACATAATAGACAAAGACATATCCAAAATAGGCAATGACTTAGACTTAAAACTAAATGACTTAAACTTCACATGAAATGATTTAAACTTTACAGAAAATGACT